CAATTTTCGAGCCTTCTGATCTTTTTTAAAATCATGGAACAAATGTGCTGGCTCATTTTTTATTCGAATATTTTGCACCGGCCAAAAAAAACTATCCAGGATTGTGATTATCCCAGGATGAAATTTAATTATTTAGAGGTTCATAAGATTCATTATCTATAAATCTAAACAGATAGGAAAATTTCTGATAAGCAAAATAAGTTGTCAAAATAAGAAAAAAAGAGTAAAAATACAAATTTACAATGACGCACACGAGACATTGAGCACCAAATAATCAATAATCAGATTCAGTGAAGAGAACAGAGGAAGAAATCTACCAGTAAAGAATAGTTCCCAGCCATGTACAAATCATGTGAAGAGTTTCTTCGAGTATGCATGATAATGTAGTATGCATTCTCTCAGCAAGAGAATGTCGAGATAAAGAGGAGTGTGTCAAGCTCTGTCTTACTTGTCAGGTTCAGTGGCGAACAAACGTTCTATGAGCAGCAGTTACGTCCATTCTTGCGATGCTTCGACTACGCCGCCAGGACGCTTACAAGATCGATTACAATCTAGTCAACACACACGGGCCCGCAGTTCATAAGCTACTCGGCAGCTCTTCGCGGCAACGACCGTGTTGACTTACAAGTATGAACTATACGTGCTACATAAGTTCTCGGAGGACGCCAACGCAGTATAAACGTTCTACTCAGTAAAAAGTATGAAATCAATTGAATTAACTGTAAGGTTTTAAAAAAAGCGGCCGATGCGCTCTGAAAATGAAAAATTTAGGATGATAATTGCAGTGAAATATGAGAGAAATTTTGAATGTTCGCTGTTGGTGGTTTATATATAGATAGAAAATAACGAAAGATTGTCCCAAAATTGATATCAAATGGACAAAATATAAAGAAATCTTAGTAAAAATCGATCTACCAAGCTCGTGGTGGCTTTCCAAACATACTTTATAAAATTCATTCAAACTTGCATGCAACTAATGAGAAACTTGCTACACAAGCTCAAAATTTTACGAATTTTAGAATAAGGTCAGAAATCGTATCAAAAGACCTGAAAAATGTCAGAATACCGTTGTAAAAGTCAGAATACCGTTAAAAATCAGAATATCGTTATAAAAGGCAGAATACCGTTTCCGAGTTAAATTTCATGTAGTCACTTTGGCGTATCTATGAAATCTCCTCGAAAGGAATGGACAACGGAGTTAGCGTATTCTGGCGTGACCGGCTATGTGCAGTATTACATCATACGGATATATAAATTATTTTGGCACATAATCTTCAAACTTAGGCTAGCCAAACGTATGCACTGCCTGTATTCGATCAGCCAATGAGAATTTCATAACAGAAAGCTTCAAGGTCGTGAATAATGTGTAAAGAAACAACTAACCATCAGTAGCACAGTGCCTATGTGATGATGCCAAGTTGCCGCAATCCCAATAATTGCATTTTATAAATAAAAATTTTCATTCATATCAAAAATTAGCAGAATAACCTAAAATTAATGCAAAGGGCAGATGAGTAGTAATAAGTGTGGTAGCAGATTGAAGTGGCGATGCAGTAGACCTGCGATCGTGAGCGATTGGAGTTAAATACCTGTAGTTCCAAACGCCAGTGAAATCTTTACCACTTTGCTTCTAATAGTGGAAATTGTTATCAAACGCAATGGAGATCACATAAAAAATACGAACTTAATGTTCGCTTTGGCCACAGTGAAGGGTTGTTCACGCGATTTCCTCAAGTTTTTCGTTAAAATATAAATAAATTATCGTGTACTTTACATATGAGTAATATAAAAGTAGTCATCATCAAAAGCGCCGATGATACGTCTGTCACATGCAACTAAGACCGAAATTAACTAATTCGCGTTGAAAGACATAACTGCTCGACCAAAGCGTCGTGAAATGCGAGCTTAAGAGTCATTAGTTATTAAGATAATGAGGCAAGTCACCTGCAAGACGCGAGCTACTACTGACCCCCCCCCCCCCACACCCCGGTATCTATTTCCAATGAATGATTGCCCCCTGCTGTTTACAAGCTGCCAACTTATGATGTAATCCCTGGCCGTAAGGGAGACAACTCGCTGCCACCTCCCCTCGGGTTTGGGGCGTCAGTATTAATATCCCAAGACGGGACCACTAGTCAAGTCATTGGCAAGATCACAGCGCATACAGAGTGTCTGACGCGAGAGTGTACACGCTGGGCACACGCCACCGACGCGTCAACTCGTGGACATCGAACATCGCACTGCGCTCCGCACCTTATAAATGATACAATGTGTCAGTTAATAGACGGCCATAGCAAATGATAAGGAGTACCAACACTGCAGATGCATAGTATTTTTCTCAGCACATTTGAGGTGATTACTACAGAATGGCCACTTAATTGAAGGAAAAATTTGCATACAATATCTGTGCCAGTTTAAGGGAAAGTCCAAGCATTAAACTCCACTGCTGGTCTCAAGGTAAAACACGGAACGTCATTTGAATTCGTATTAAATAATTTAAAACTATTTCAGAAAATGATTGACCAACTCAGTCAATTTGCTTTCAAAATCTTCCAAGTCACATGGAGACAACTGAAAAAATCTTAATTCGCAAAAGGATCACTACACTGCAACCTGAATTAATATTAACACGTCACTGATCACGGGTAACTAATACTGTGTTACCGTCCAAAAATGCAGTGGAATTGAGCCGCGCACAATGCAAGCAGGCGCTAGGACGTATCACTTGCTAGCATAGGGCGAGTGCGCTGCTCGGTTTAGAAGCAAATAGAGCCGCCAATATGGCGATTGGTAAGCAATGTGGTTAGGAAGAAAGGAGGGGCACGGCAGGGACGATTAGCGCGTCTCAGGCTGCAGCGCGCGTCCGTCTGTCGGACATCACGCGAGGTGCCAGCGAGCCATGTCAACGGCTAGCTGGTAGTTAGTAACTCGAGCGAGAAACCAATTATCTAAATAACAAATTGCACATCAGACTTGAGAAAATGTTACTCCACTTAAAAGTTTGCCCGTTGAACGGTTCCTTGTAATACATGAGTTATGTTTATATTTAACAATAATTACTACACTAAGAATGAAATTTTAGGATAAATAAGGGAACATTTCCCTAGCACGAAATTTACGCGCGTCTCAACTGCAACTTCAATGGACTAAGACATAGAAAAAATGAACATTCATGACAATTTTGAGTGCAACTAAATTTTTATATTTGACTGACCTTGTGATTAAGTCAGGCAAGATATATAGGCGCTGTCAAATAGAGACCTAAACTAACCTACACAAGAAATAGAATGTGTGTTATTAGCTGACAGCAGATAACTTAACACGCCGCAGAGTCGTACGATCAGAGCGCTGTTTAGAATGGTTTATTGCTCATTGACGGCATGGTCTAAACTCAATTCTATAGCGATAGCGAATTGGATTCGACTTCTTTACTTTAAATCTACTAGTAATCGATCACATCATAAATTCGTCTCTAATAATGCGCTCCGGCAAATTGACACGGGACAAATTTACCGGCATTTTGAGTGGTTCATATATATATATATATATATATATATATACGCAGGCATTGGCGGTCGAGTGGGGCTTGAGACGCCAGCACTCCGCACAACTCGAGTGAAGAGACACATGACGATGACAATAGTTTCTTGCTCTTATTAATTGCTCAAGATCCACATAAAAATTGAAAAATAATTCAATTTATAATTATTGTCTCAAAGTAATGACTGCTTTTGAAAGAGGAGGAACACCGTCCTCAGCAAAGCACAGGTCTGGCCAAAAGTCGAAGTTGTCTGAGAGAGAATGTCGGTACCTAAATCAAATTGTGAGCAGCATTCGAAAGACCGCAGATGTTGAAATTACTGCAGACCTCAGTGGGCCCCAACAGAACCCAGTTTCCATAAAGTCTGTCCGAGAGCCACATAGATCTGGATTCTATGGAAGAGCTGCAATTGGAAAACCTCTGGTATCATTTACAAATGCATTAAAGCGTTTAGAGTGGTGTAAAAACCTCCAGAATTGGTCCCTCTAGCAGTGGAACAATATTATTTTCTGTGACGAGTCATCGTTTACCTTATTTCCAAAATCTGGCTGAGTTCACGTTTGGAGACAACCAAAAGAGTCATTTAACAATCTACTGCCTGACATGAGTAACCGTAGCAATATTGTCGCAAGCCTACTTCCCAAAAATATACGTTCTAGTGAGATCAAAATGACTTGCACTGATGGTTGCCGCCACGTACGACAATTTTAAAATGTTCTCCGTTGCGTACAAACGTCCTCAGGCTGCAACACTCAATAGTTTAGGTTTAATTTAAATTGAAAGTTATGTTCCCGAGGAGTCACATACGGCGATAGAAGGTTAATCCCGACTACCTCCTCCCAAACGTAAATCCTAGCGGGGGATCTGTGATGATCTGGGGTGATATTTCACTGAAATCCGGCGGAAAAATAATTTCTCTTCAAGGAAGAATCAACAGCCGTGACTATGAATTTTGGAGGACAAAGTTCATCCAATGGTTCGAGCACTGTTTCCGGAGGGGAATGCCATCTTTCAAGATGCTAATGGCCCGATCCATACAGCTGACATTGTGAAAAAATTGCACGAGGAACATTCTCATGAAGTTGAGCATCTTATTAAATTGGCCAGCACAATCACCAGACCTGAATATTATCGAGCATTTATGGCCGATTTTAGAGATGCAAGTCAAAAGTCGATTCCAGCCGCCATCGTCTTTAAAAGAGCTGGAGGTATTTTTAACGGAAGAATGGGTGAAAACTTGTTTGAAAACAATTCACAATTTGTATGAATCCAAACATTGGAAAATTGAGGCTGTAATTGCCGCGAAAGGGGTCCTACATTTCACTTTAATATATTACTTAGATTTCTCTCGCTTATTTTGCCTAACCCCTGTATACCATATATTACTGCAATTGCAATGCGCTTGATTAATGAGCGAATTAACGGTACACTTTAACGGACTGTTGACAATTTTACTTACGTGTGCCATGCCGTTGACTCCATAACCGGAATTGACGAAACCCTGAGTGGAACATAGAACATTATTAGCAGGAGTTATCAAGACGCAAACTTCACATATGTATATAGGAAATATATTTCAGACAATATACTAGAATTTCAATCACATTTAATACTCCGATTGTCGTAGAGTTACTTCGCGTAATATTCTCCCGAAAAAAGAAGACTAATAAAAAACTGATATTAAACCGGAAAAAATTAAATCACGTAGTAATTTATTACATTAATGTTGAATACATACATAAAGTTGGAAACTTATTCTTATAGAATTTTTCAAAGAATTGTTTATTTCCATAATAAATTTCTAAGAACCCAAGGTTTCTGAGAAAAACGCCGTGTAAAAAACGCAGTGTAAGAGGGAAAACAGTAGCGACCTAATCCTAATCTTCACAAACCATGTACGTACATTGAACGACTTGAAACAAGAACAATTGTTTGCTAGCTATCCGACACCCTCTGGTTCAAATTGAACAAAAAATGACCTAAAATCAACTCTTTCATAGGAATTAGGAAGAACATAAATAAACAACATTATATCTACTTAGCAAAATATACAAGTATATGCAGCAAAAATGATAAGAGTCTGAGATTAGTGAATGATTCTTAAGAACGCGTCACTGTAAGCTTGTGTACACGGCCTCTGATCATCAGGGAAAACTCATCAATTCCACATAAATATAGTGGATCATGTGCGGGTTATTACTCAGGGACGATGACTAGTTATGGCTAGACACACCATAGCACACGCACACAATCGGTGGCCACACAGAATCGCAATCCAGTTATTAATGCGGCCTCAACAAATCTATTTGTCAAGCTTCGCTAGCTATGCTTAGTGCGTTATTGTACATGCGTTCTTAACATTCAATTTAACATAATTCATGACTATTATATTTTTATTGTTCAAGCTTATCATCAAAAGAACATGAATCTCACTGAGAAACGAAACAACAAGAAGCCATTTCAGAACAAACTTTTAGAATTGCTCTCAGCCTGCTCATTTCCCGCCACAAAAGTAGGGAAAGGAAATGCGCGAAATCAAGGAATTGACAATCAATGAGAATTGCTATAGAAGCCCCAGAACATTTCTTATACGATTATACAATGAATTTCCAGTCGTAAGCTCGCGCTCAATGAGTTAGAATAGAATAGAAGTGACATGCGACGAAAGTTGAAAGTTACTTCTGAATATTTCAGTGCAGTGAATGCATATTTTTTTGCAGTGAATGAATGTAAGTAGGACATCTAAAGATGTAAATATAAAGCAATATATTTTTACGTTTGGTACGACCTGACGCTAGATCACAGGACGCGTTCTTGAATGACGGCTATCACCAGTAATCGCAGGAGAATTTAAAATAAATAATTTCATGATATTATTTTAACGATTAAATTTATAGCTATTTAATATAGGTACTCACATAGTCGTGAAATGCTTTAGCTTCGCTACTGTGTTCTGATGTGTCCCTTCGCTCTGGTGCCGCACAATACAAGTCCCAAAACACGCTGCACACAAAACGTAACTCCATATTAATAACTTCATTACATGCAAGTAGAAAAAAAAATTGTAAGCACGAATGTAAAATTAAAAAGACCTCAAAGACCTCAATGTTAAGATCTCAGTATAAATTATCTTTTATGTTTAAAATAAATTATCTCCTATGCCACTGTAAGAGCGATTTTGAGGCGTTTCTGGAGAGAACAATTTGATATTTCCTAATGTCAAGAAAGTATTTATAGTGACCTATATATATTATAGAGTATGAAGTTGCTGATATTTGATGCCAGTAGCCTCATGTATCTAGAGAGCACAGGTCCTGGACAGAGAGTTCAACACGAGATGTAGTGATCTCCAGGCCGTGCGTGAAGCCTGGAACAGCCCACGCCAGCCAACATAATATAATTGTCGCTTCAACATCAAGCCCTGCCGGGCTGCCCAGTGCACATACTTTCAAAACTTGCTAAGTGAACATAAGTACTTACGCCCTATTTTCTTGTCTATGATTGGGGGATTTTGCTTGAAACACCGTCAATGATTGGCTGATGAACTTACGATCTCTTAACTTTTTTGAAAGTATAGGCCCAGTATTCTTACCCACGTTACGTCTACTTCTACCACAGGATACCCGAAAAATCATAACCTTATCGATGAAAATGGTCGATACCAAAAGCAATAGTTTTGCGGGGACATGTCTACTAGGGCAACTCGAGTAGAAGACACTCACCACCACCATGAATGTAGAAAACCTGGAGGCTCCCCAAGTGTTATGTTTTTCTCCCATCTGATCTGTGAGCGGAAAGGGAACCCGTTAATTAGGGAATAATGGAAAACAGTAAACAGCAAAAAAATTATATCTACTCAAATTATTAGTTTAAAAGTTTTAACATTTAGCTTACTTGGAGTTGCAGCATTTTTACTATTAGGTCAAACAGAATAGTAATAAATTGGTGCACCTAGCAATGTTAAAAAACGTCCAGTCATTTCGGAAAGGACGAGCGTTATATCTTGCGATTAAATGTATATAAATATTTGGGGAAAACGAAATGTGTTCAAGCAGCTTTCATTACGAATGACTTCCTATCGATGAAAACTGCCGTAAGCTCAACTAAATGTACACGGACCGAATGACTAATAACAATGGAGGCAGCAGGCAAACTGTCGAGAAGCGCTTCTGTTGTCTGTAAAAAAAGGTGCACTGGAAGAGCAAGAAGAAGGCGGGCCAGCGGAAGCGACCTTAATTATTGGAGCCTTGCTTCCCTTGAATCAAGAATTTGAAATTGAGGACAAGGCACGGATTAGATGACATAAAAGAGACGAATGGATCGGTGTAGAGTGCGTTGCAGTCCCTGCATGACGCGCGATGACGGGAGACGTTCACTTCTTAACTCTTGATGAATGTCAACTTTCGAGGCAGAGGTGTCATTAGGCCTATTATAGGGAACTTCAGCGCCCTTAAATAATTTAATGATCAATCATTTATTCAAATTATTTTTTTTACCCCAAAATGCCGACAAGTTCAACATAATGTGGCCAAATTTTGAGATTAAATAATAATAAATTTTACCCCGAAATGCCGAAAAATTCAATATAATGTTGCCAAATTTTGAGATTAAATAATAAAACAATCAGGCATTATTAACCTAAGTTCCGCTCATAAATCTTATGAGGCTTAGCCTCCACTTCCCCAGTGCTAAGAACCTGGGTATTATCTTCCATTTCGAATAGCAAAAATTTTTCCTAAAGAAGACGTAATGAAGTCAGAGTGATACAGGCGTAAAGAAGGCGTTGTGGTATTATCTTAAAGAAAGCGAGAGGTACAGTCGTGCATAAGGTTGTGCGTTACAGTAACGAAGAAGACGGAGTGGTACAGTCGTAGGGAGGAGTGATGGAGTAACGAAGGTTACGAGCGAGTATTGCACCCAACACACTGGTTAGGAGCGAGTATTGCACGCAACACCCCGGTTACGAGTATTGCACGACGCCAGTCACCACACAGCAGGAGTAACAGTAACACCGGGCACAAGAGTTGGCGCGGATGTGTGCCGCCGTTACAGCGTCACGTCGCCTCCTCTATAACGGTCACGGTTACGGGACATGGAGGCAGCGTGACACAGCACCAGCGATGTGGCGTTATCAGTTAACCTGCACCACATAACCTGTGACCTGCACCGTAGTGCGACCTGCACCACAACGCGACCTGCTCCGCATCATTCCGCGACCTGCGCCTCCTTTTTGCAGCTCAATGTGACGAGGTATCATGCATGACAGTGACGAGGTATCATGCATGACAGTGACGAGGTATCGTGCATGACAGTGACGAGGTATCATGCATGACAGTGACGAGGTAACATGCAGTGCATGATACGCTCATGTGCACCACGCAACGGCACTCTCGCGCACACTAATGACACGCACACTAAATTAGCGTACACTTGGCAGGCCGGGCAGATGATGTGACTTATCTTACGATAGTTTCTAACATGAACGCAGACAACTCGTGATTACGGAGAATGTCTTGCTCCAAATTTTAGTCGATATGCAAGAATTGCACTTATCTCGGCTAATTCCTGACCGTGACACATGTCAGACTTGGTGGTCAACATAAACAAGCACAAGCGCAGATAAAATACATAGAAGATATAATGACAGCGTAGAAGCTGGGGCTTTACATACAATCTTGATGTATGAGGAGACCAATATGAGCTCTATGATAACAATGATTGCACGATATTACAGCATTATATGTATGGTGTTACGAGTCAGCATTATAAGTAAGTGTTAGGGGTCGGCGTTAGGGGTAAGCGTTAGGGGCCGGCGTTAGGGGTCGGCGTTAGAGGTCAGCGTTAGGGGTCAGCGTTAGGGGTCGGCGTTAGGGGTCGGCGTTAGGGGTCGGCGTTAGGGGTCGGCGTTAGGGGGTCGGCGTTAGGGGGTCGGCGTTAGGAGTCGGCGTTAGGAGTCGGCGTTAGGGGTCGGCGTTAGAGGTCAGCGTTAGGGGTCGGCGTCAGAGGTCAGCTTTAGGGGTCGGCGTTAGGGGTCGGCGTTAGAGGTCAGCGTTAGGGGTCGGAGTTAGAGGTCGGAGTTAGGGGTCAGCGTTAGGGGGACAGCGTTAGGGGTCGGCGTTAGGGGTCGGCGTTAGGGGTCAGCGTTAGGAGTCAGCGTTAGAAGTCAGCGTTAGGGGTCAGCGTTAGGGGTCAGCGTTAGGAGTCAGCGTTAGGAGTCAGCGTTAGGGATCAGCGTTAGGGGTGAACGTTAGGGGTGAACGTTAGGGGTGAGCGTTAGGAGTCAGCGTTAGGAGTCAGCGTTCGGGGTCAGCGTTAGGGGAGAGCGTTAGGAGTCAGCGTTAGGAGTCAGCGTTAGGGGTGAGCGTTAGGAGTCAGCGTAAGGAGTCAGCGTTAGGAGTCAGCGTTAGGAGTCAGCGTTAGGAGTCAGCGTTAAGGGTCAGCGTTAGGGGTGAGCGTTAGGGGTCAGCGTTAGGAGTCAGCGTTAGGGGTCAGCGTTAGGGGTCAGCGTTAGGGGTGAGCGTTAGGGGTTTTAGGAGTCAGCGTTAGGGGTGAGCGTTAGGAGTCAGTGTTAGGAGTCAGCGTTAGGGGTAAACGTTAGGAGTCAGCGTTAGGAGTCAGCGTTAAGAGTCAGCGTTAGGGGTCAGCTGACACCTAAACGCGTCCACATCTTCATCGCGACGGAACTAGACTTGTTGGCTCGAGGAGGCTTTTTTGCCTTTCTCTGCTCTAATGAATCAAGAAATGCCACATAGAATTTATAAGTGAGAAATTCTTAAGACTAAATGCACTCACCTCTGTTAGGAATGTTTGAGCTGCTTTTTGAGCGCCGATGTGTAGTAAGTATTCATAAACATACAGAGCCAACCTGCAACATATAAAAATAGCATCAGAACTGATAAATAAGTTCCCACATGCGTAGATCGCGGCGAGCTTGCGATTCAATAGATTTAGCAGGAAACAAATTTATCACACAGTAAACGGGGAAATTAATTCAATTAGAAGACTAAGAACGGAAGTTTGAAATGATATAAAAGTCGTTACAGAAGTAGATACAAAATCAGAGGGGTATTAGGTGGGTTAAACTTCAATGAGTCAAATGAAAATTTGATAGGAACTACAACGATGGAAACACTTTTTGAGACAACGTAAATTTGGCAAATGCAAAATCAGCACTCCTCAGTCTACACGCGCTTCACTGAGCAGCACACAACCAACTCAATACCTCTACAGCACTTCTCAGTCTACACGCGCTTCACCAGAGAGCAGCACACGACAAACTCAATACCTATACAGCACTCCTCAGTCTACACGCGCTTCACCAGAGCAGCACACAACCAACTCAATACCTCTACAGCACTTCTCAGTCTACACGCGCTTCACCAGAGCAGCACACGACAAACTCAATACCTATACAGCACTCCTCAGTCTACACGCGCTTCACCAGAGCAGGTGCATTTAAATTTGAGGTAGCAGTTGAAGAGGCATAAAGAGGGAGAAATTACAGTCTCCCTTATTAGTCAATTGTTCGAACGTGTCGCCTAATATATCAACAGAGAAACAATAACAGCTCCCATCTAATGGATGACAGAACAGCGGAATTTCTACCGTCTTGCGATGGCTAACAAATGACACGCGAACGTTGCCGTTGGTTTTGGTTGTGGATGGCATTGCACCGTTTGCAATCCATGTTTTCAGGCTTTGTATGTAGGAATCCGACTCAAGTTCTCTGAGCTTTTAAAATGGCATGTTGAGGACTTGACCACATTTTTCTTTGAGTTTATTCGCATTAACAAATCATTTCTCCGAAAATTGCTAAGCAATTAATGATGATCACAACATAAAAAGATATAGCTGAGAATTTAAAATAAAATACCGGCAGTCAAGCCACGATGTTATTTCTAAACCACGTTTGACGATTCTACAACGAACAATTCGAATGGTATAGCAGGGGAAAGATCGATTTTAGAGAAAATTTTCTAATTTAGAGTACAGCTGCCTTACACACATCGCTAACTGTTCATTATAAACACAATTAAACTTGAATGTCAACTGAAAAGCGGCAGACACAATGAACAGCTAAAAGTCAACGTATCACCGAAGAGCTTATCGCATCAACTTATCGCTGCCAAGCTCCATTTTATTTCGGCACGGTACGGGCGGCATTCGACGGAGTTAGGATGCGGGGTCGTGGAGATGATCAACGCGTCAAGATGGACCGCAATTCTCCCACACACTTATATACCTGGAGACGTCGCATTCAAGCGACTGCTGGGTAATTTCATCACAAATATAGAGCAGACAACCCGTCATACTCAGAGACGGGAAGAAAATTAGTATTGAATTAGCTGTACTTTAAATTCTTAAGAAATCCGTTTGAACTTTGAAAATTGTGGATCTGATCGATTACTTCTGAGGCAAGCATGAAGACGAAGGGTTTGTTAAGCCATTAACAAATAAATAAAATATATATAGCTGAATGGAACGAATTAATAGGTATTTTATTTGATACGTGTTTACTACGTAATATCTCTATCTGCTGTAGCGAGCGGTTGGATGCAAATTGCATTGCAACAAAAATTAGGAGCCTCTATAATAAGCGCATATTAATTTGTATTTTAAAATCTCTCATCTAGAAGAACATTGAAGGACAAAACACACACAACATTCTCACGTACAACTTCCCTCCCCTTTAATAAATGATACAATTTTCGCAAGATTCAGAACTTTCTATTCATTGAACAAACAAGAATGAATTCAGGAACTCGCAGGTCCTTCCGCTGTTAGCGCAGATCGGACATCCGATGGATGACAGATCGGCGCTGATCCTGCACCGTTGTTCATATTACGTAAATGGTCGATCAGAGAGATTGACATTATTATCTTATGAGATGAGAACACACAAAAGAGTTTTAAGCAAGAATGAATTATCTTCGATGCCATTTAAGCGCGTAACACTTTAGATTATAGTTTGTGCCGTCATTTGACTCGAGACCGCATTTGAAGTACACTGTACACGCGTCTGTGTTGATCAAATGCATCTTGGTCAACCCAGGGTCCCAGTCTCACCATAGAAAGAAAACAATGAAATGATTTGAAGCTCACCATGACCAATATGGCTTTTTAAAATCTTTGGTGATATTGTTACCGGCAAACCATATCTAAGCCAACGACATTAGGGGATCAGTTCAAATGATAGGTTTCGTAAGCGACAGCTGAGCATTTATTTGACAAGTTCCGACTGATTGCTATCGAGCGCCGAAAACCGCTTCAAGGCTTCAAACCTCTTAAAAGAAGAGGTTCTTGACTCCTTGAATAGAAGAACGTGGTGCATTACAAACTGTATGAATTTTCAAATTTCAAATACAGATAAAACACTACATACACACCAGAAAGCGTGGATAATCATACCCCAATAATGCATAAGAATATCAGGGCTGATGTTAACTTTCAACTCGCGACTAAATGATTGTAGCAACACTGCAACACTGTCTCCTGCACCAGATGATATAGCAGCAGCGCTGCAACACTGCCTCCTGCACCATGTGACAGCGCAACACTGCATCACCATAACGCAATTCTGGCGAGAAAAGCATGCCATTGGCGGAATAGATATATATGTGTCAATAGACGGAATACGTCCAACATTAAATCCGGAACCCGAGCGCGGGGTGACCTGCCTAGCGACGATCGGAGATGGAGGACGACGAAGGCGGCGCATCAGCGTGACCGGGGACTAAGAAGTCCCGAACTCATCATAAGGTCATAATATAACTGATTTAGGAGCTCCTCGATGAAATAAAAGCTATGGCATTTGATGCTACGGCATAAAATAGGAGCTAAGGTAATGACATCGTCGACAGTCGTGAAAATGCGTTAGTTTCGCAGCAAAACGGTTTCTTTTTTAGAAATATGAAATTAAGTTCTTTTCCCCTCAAACAATAATTATGGGGCCATCATTAACCAAACTAAGTGCTATTAACAAATACAGAAGTAATCTCATGCAGGGTGACGATAGCACTAAAGCCGCCATGTGCAGGATTATTATACAATTAAGAACAAAGTCAATGACACATGTGACACCAATCGTGAAAATCTCAATTGCTTTCATCAAGTCAAATGTCGGAGTTTGTGTGAACATTATTGAAACGATACGAGACGAAGCCCATTGAACACTAATTGAAGCTGTTTATGATGCGGTCTGAGCTACGCGGCTTTGCTTCGACAAAGGCATAATTAAGAACTACGTTTGCGGCATGTATCATTATTCTTACTTCTCTATTGAACGTTGCAAAATTGTTTTAAAAGAGAACTAATCGCAGAAAAAAAACAGACGAACTGTTCTAGCCTCACAAAATTAAAGCAAACCTCTTCAAGACTTTCATGAGGGAGCTAAATTTATAACAAAATGATTCGGAGTCGTGAATGCGCTTATGCTTCAGCACTGCACTAGGAGTCTAGGTGTACAGGCAGCACTGCACTAGGAGTCTAGGTGTACAGGCAGCACTGCACTAGGAGTCTAGGTGTACAGGCACCATGAAAATATACAAGAAATAACATCAATGATGTTCAGTCCTTGCGCCGCACTCCATCACTCATCGCCTACAAAACTTGGTACCTACCTATTACAGTCGACGAGTAAAGTTAATAAATAATATAAATACAATGCAGCGACCAGAAATATTAACAGTAGATACAGTACTCAGCAACAATCTTTATTTGCGTCAGTTTATAACCTAAAATAAATCATTCATAAAGTTTGAGATAAAAAGCATAGTGTTAATCACTAAGGATCGCGCTAAAGTTTGAGGCAACTTCGAGCAATGATGAGACTCGTGACGAACCTTCCGCTGACACCGTAACCATAGCAGCGGTGGCATCAGTGGACGACAGCGTGAGCTAATGCTAACGTCGATATCTCCATTGCACCAACAATGTGGATAAAAGACAAGCTAAATATCTCACGACTGTTCGAGTGCAGATACTCATATAAATGCAGTGTTCAGGTAACCTCGCTTATGAATCTAGTTGCTGTAGCCGTGTTTTTTAACAACGTCCAGACTAGTCATCGGATCAAAAAATGTAATCTCACGAATCTTTCGATGGGCGTATCAATGAAAATGAATCAATTTCTGATATAATCGCTATTCGCTACATTCAATGACGAAATTCAAAACTACCTGAGTCAAAACAATTTTTTCTTCTCCATTCAACATGATCCTATTTCTTGTACTCCGAGAAAGTTGTTCAGATATGATATTAATTGATCCAAAGTTTCATAATATTTACACTATAGGATCATAAAACGAAATTTTCTACAAGAAGATTCACGTCATCTAATAATCAAACAAGAGGCAGCAAACTCTAAGTTCCACATCAATAATTCAAAGGCTGCAGGAAAAGTTTTTCGTCCATTCAAAAATACGATAATTTTAGTATCTTTGAAGGCGGTAATGCAGCCTGATGGGGCAGAACAGCATTCGAGGACAGCTACAACAAAATCTGCATACAATGTAACTCTTGCTTCACACAACCATCATTCACAACAGGGACAATCCAAAGACTCGTACAACAAAACAATGTCGTCTTGACCACCCAACAGTGTATGCTTTCCGAAAAAATGCTTCAAATTAGAAGATTTCGAAATGAGACATTGTTAAAAAAATGTATGAAATTTGAGCGACATTCATTTCATTACGCACAATTATTACACACATATGCAGGGGTTGGAAAAAAGTACAGGAAACACCTGACATTTTGATAGCGTAATATTTGAATATGTAATAAACAACGAAATCCCGACATGTTTTATGTTTTATTGTTGCTGCCAATTGATATTTTATCCTTGCACAGATATTTTAGTAAATT